TTTTAACATTTAGAAGGACGGTGACCTTTTGTGGTCCCTGATTGGTGTGGATCACAGCAAAGAAATGGCAAAACACCTTCAAAGATGCCGCGTCCCCAGCAAGAGTACATTCCCCTTCCTCCTGCTTAAGAGGTCAAGTCTCATAGTCAGGAGTAGCTCTTGTTTTGAACTTGTAACTAAAAAGTCAGAAAATCTCATGTCAAGAAGCACAGGAAGAAAAATAGAAACCACACAAAGATGAGGGTAACTACCACGGGGTTCTTGGTGCCCGAGGCATGAAACGAATCCGTTTGAAGTCTGAACTGATAAGAGAATTTTTGCATGAATTCCAAGAACACGAGTAGATAGATGGCTGGGAAGAAAACGTATCTCTAGGGTATTCTGACTTTATGGGACTTAGTCCCAAGATCTCTACTCCTTACAGCTGCACTTAGGGATTTACTATTCTGCGTTGTTTGTAGTTAAATGAGTAACATAGAGTAAAACAAAAGTTTTTGTACAACTATTAATTTGTTTTCCAGGAATTAATTCAGTTTCTGCCTGGACCATTTAATGAAACTGCACAGCAAATTAAATTTGTTTTTCAGTGCTGAGTAGGAACAATGCAAACTAAAAAGACCACACTGACTGAGGCAATCGGTCTCTGGATGCTTTTTCTTTGCTGTGTATTTTTCAACAATGTGATGAAAACTTATTAGTGTTAGTTTTCTAACTCAAAAATATATTCATAGTCAGTAGGAACACTATGACTCATGACAAAGCAAGGTGGACATGACCTTGCCCACACTGTGTCCATTTAGAGTACTTACTGTGTTCATTTTTAATGTTTAGTCTTCCTCTATAACTTGCCCTCGTGTGATGTGTAATAAAATGAATAATGTAAAATATTCCTCCTTTATAGTTCTTCAAAGATGTAAACAATTCCATTATTCTGTGCTGCAGTTAGGTCAGTGTTCCAGCATCTACTTGGTAGAACAGAGCAGGCAGAGCACCAGAAGCTGAGCTGTGATGTGTCCAGGACTTCCACGATTACAGCCTGTGTGCCAGCAGGCTGGTACCACAGGTAGGAGCAGCAAGGTCAGTGGGATTTAATGCCAGCCCAGTTCTGACCTCAGCTGATCTCAGCTGACAGACAAAGCCTGCTTTGCAGATATAACAAGACTCATCGGATCCATCACTTAGATCTCTTGTTCATATTTTAGAAATGAAAGCTGAAATCCACTGTGTTACTGTTTTAAGTTACTGTTTTCAGGCAGGTCCAATAATTTTGGTATTTTTTTGTAGTGATTTGGTTCCAGTATTGTGTGGAAGAGGGAGAAGGGTGGGAAACGTGCTTACCTTGCAGTGTACTCAAGAAGAGAGGATATAGTCTGGCAGCACTCAGTGGTCTATATTGGCCTTGCTAGGATGGCTTTGTAAAAGTCCTGTGACGTGGTTTTGAAAGGAGAGATGCTTCAGAATAGTCTTCTTAAGGGTGTCTGAAACCAACCTCATTGCACCCTTTTCTCCACTCACTGCAACATCAGTCACTAGAACTTTGCAAACACCAAAATGCTTTTTCAGCATGAAGTCAACTTTGATGTAGGTGTGTGATGTGAGTGATCATATGATCAATTTTGTTGTTGTGTCTCTCTTTGGAGACAAATATCTTGCATTTTTAACAGTTATTTGAATGCTATGCATAATTCTTTGCCAGAGAAGCAGTCGATCCTGGCCAAGTTGAAACTTCCCAGAGGAATAATCCAAATCTGTATTTCCATATATATATTAATAAACGATGTAATACTTGCAGCAACTCACGTAATACCAAATTGAAATGAGATAGAACTCATTATCAGTACAATGAGAAGCACAGACTCTTTCTTGTTGGAAATAATGGAGTGAGATCTACACAATTACTTTCCCTCACTATCCCTTTAACCATTTGTGTAACAAAGTGTTTGTAAATGTTTCTCAGTTTGTGTTGTAGTGGGACATACACTGGTCCCAGCCAACTCCTGTGGTTGCAAGCAGGAGGAGTATATAAATAAATCCTTTAGTTTTGTCTGGTTTCAGGATGTAACATCAGCAACATTGTGTATTGCACAAGCCCAAATGGAGCTTCAGCTTGCTGCTGCCTGAGGATAGGGGATGCTATGTTTGATCTGTCATCCTGATTTTGGACTTTTGCTGTGGGTATGAGTCTGAAGTGATTCCTTTCTCTTTGTACCACGGAGGATTTTAGTCTGTATTGGAGGACACAGTCTTAAGCTATGCCAAGGGAGGTTTAGATTGGGCATTAGGAAGAAGTTCTGCACAGGAAGAGTGATTAGACACTGAAATGGGCTTCCCAGGGAGGTGGTGGAGGTACTGTCCCTGGAGGTGTCTAAGGAAAAACTGATTGTGGCTCTCAGTGCTGTGGTCTGGTTGGCAAGGTGGTGTTTGGTCATAGATTAAACTCGATGACCTCAGGGGTCTTTTCTAACCTGGTTGATTCTGTGATACTGAGATTTGAACTTGGCACTCCACTCCGTGTGAAGCTGGCACCTGCTAGTCAGGCTCTGCTCAGAAGCACCTGCTGCCAACACTCAGGAATTGCTACCAGAGTAAGTAATAAGCCTTAAAAAGTAATCTTTTGTGATCCTGCTCAATGACCAGGGTCCAGAATCGAGAATTAGAGACTAGTCTTCTTCAGCTTGGGGTTTACAGTGCTTAACCATCAGCTGCAGATTGGCTCCTACACTTGAAGAAGAATGGACTCTTTTGAATGCGGCTGAGAAGTGGGAAATGGTGTCCTGCTGGTTTTTTCCAGTAGCTGAGCTACTTCAACTGTGAAGCAGAACAGAAAGTTCTGTCCCCATCTGTAACTGCAGCCTCTCTCTGATCTGGCTATAGGCTGTTTATTGTGGAGGAAGCAGGTGGGAGGTTTGCATCCATGGTACTGAAAGGAACTCAGTAAAGAAGAAAAAAAAAGAAGGGAAGGAAAAGGAAGGACATGATTTAATTATTTAATAAGACAGTACATTTACACACCAGACATATTTTGGAAGTTTTTATTTCTGGAATACAAGATGAAGCAGTTTGGCAAAAAACCCTCATGCTTCATAGAAATGCAGTTCTGTGTATTCTTAGGAAAAGGATGAAACCTATCACTTCCATGGAATTTGTGCAAGTCACTCTGGACAGAATCTGTCTTGTAGTGTGGGGTTTAAACACCTTCAAGCAGCAGCGAAGTAAATGCACTAATTAAATAGTGTAACCCGTTAAGAATTGTAATATTGGAAACACGACAAAATGAAATTTTGTTTGCTGAAAGTGATTTATCCAATGGACTTAAGGAAGGAAACAGACTCCCCACCTGCATTCTTCGGCATTTTTGGATAGTAATCTGCTTTAAATAATTTGACAGACCCTTTTTGTAGTCCAGTGTCAGAGGATTATATTCTTTTCAGAACAATTTATGAAAGATTAGTAGAAGCATAGTTAATCATTTCAACTCGCTACAGCTTTTTTTATAAATATTCAAATTAATGAGCTCTACCTTTTGATCTTTCTGGCTGCAAATCCCTCTGGAATTGATGCCAATTAGGCTTTGGTAATAACTTGGTTATGAACATGGGCCGGTGTGTGCCTGTGTGTGGCATGCCTGTGTGCACATGTTTACACGTGTGGGTAGGTGGCAGTGCCCCTGGAGAGTGGCACGTGATCAGTTAGACCTGTTCAGTTCTCAGCCGCTCTGGAAAGTGGACACCTCCACTCAGAGAGGAAATTGAATAAAAATACAAGCACAGTAGTAAGCAAACAGCGATTCTGCTTTATCATGCACAAAGTTTTGCACCGCTTGTTGCCAGTCTGATGCTTTTAGGACAATTACATACAACTTATACTCTTCACACTATTAAAAAATGTTCTTGTTTTTAAAAAAGGAAATGCAATTCCTGCACCAAATAAGTGGCACAAGCCCGAGGCCTGATGGAGTGAGAAACTTTCAGAGAGGCACACTGGCCCTGCTTAGAGCCTCACTCTGTGTGAAGGGGAAACAGGAACTAATTAGAGCTTTTTATCAGTTCTTGTACTGACATTTCTACATGCCCACAGTGGTGTCATTTCAAACCTCATTGCAAACAGGCCCATGCTGACCTGTGTGTGTTGCTGAGTTTCTTTGCATAACCACTGGATTACCTTAATTGAAATGTGCTATAGGTATACAGTATTTAAGCACCAGTAAGAGCTGTTTTTCAGAACAGGGCATGAGTAGGGCAAGAACAATACCAGGTTCTCAGTCCTACCACCCACAGTAAATTTGGTATGATGGCAGTTGTTTCAATTGAACTTTCCTTCTTCTATACCTACATTTCTGAATCGTTGGAGGTTATTTTCTTCCTGGTGTCCCACAGCCTATGGCCTTTTTATCTCCTACATTTGTAACTTAATATTCTGAAGCCACTTGTCTTGCAGCTTTATATGGATCTGATGAGATGTTAATGTTCAGTTTCCTATATCCAAGTAATTTTTAGAACATTTCTTTCTCTACCATTCTCTAATCTGAAGGGAAATGATTGATTGGACCCCAAAAGCCTTCTTTCCCAAGCTGCAAGAGTATCTGTATTCAAAGATGAGTGTCAGGGAGTGTGGATCAATACAAAATGTTGTATTTCTAAAGCATTATTCTTTGCCTGACTCACAGTCTCTTGTCTTGCTGAAAACTCAGTTCTGATTTCAAATGTTTGAAATTTGTTCTGTAGACAATTTCTAGTCGCAATGCTACAAAACCTGACAAAAGCTTTTCTCAGTTTCTTCTTGTAAAGTTTTGAGTGCATAGCAGTGTATCTGCCTTGCAGTTGTTGGGCTGTGTTGAAAAATAGACCTCTAGTAGTCACCTTGTTTCAAGAAAAGAGCATTGCTCATTCTCAAATTCAGAAGTAAGGGTCTGTTCATGAGAGGCAGAAGTGAGACCCTGGTTCCAGGTACAGTTCGGGCAAAGGTGGATCATTTACTTACATTTGTACTTTCTCTTACAGCATAGGTGGAGAAGTAGCAAGAGGAAATGAAGGCAGCTACGTGGGGAAACATTTCCGCATGGGATTTATGACAATGCCGGCTCCTCAGGACAGGCTGCCTCATCCTTGCTCCAGTGGCTTTACCGTGAGATCCCAGTCTCTCCACTCTGTTGGAGGAACCGACGATGAGAGCAGCAGCTCCCGTAAGCAGCCACCTCCGAAACCCAAGCGAGACCCCAACACCAAACTCAGCACCTCATCTGAAACAGTCAACACAGGAACAACAAGCAAAAGTGGGAAACTACCGGACCGGACTGAAGGTAAGCAATGTAATTCTGTGGGAAAAAAAAGGGTTTTGGTGAACCGTTGTTAAGATTATCCGGCTGATAATCTTGCATTTAAGAATTGTGTATCGGTACCAGCACAGGTGTCCTAGATCGCTGTTGTCTAAATTTTGGACCAGTGGATAGTTTTGCCCTTGACATTTGTCACAGAAGTGTACCCCTGACATGGTCTGATGGTGGACTGGGGAATGGGTTGAATTTATTCAAAATGAAAAGAGATTGCTGTCAGTTGGCACATAAGACAGTGTTATCTGCCCACCAGCCAAGGACCACTGACCATATCACTAGCACTGTGCAAACCACAGCTCTGGAAAGGGTCCTCCTTAACAAAGGAGTGAAGAACAGAAATTGTTGAAAAGGATACCGCATGGCCCTGAAACTCCACAGCAAGGGAATATCATCCAACAGTAAAAATTGTACCCAGGATGATATAATGTATTGCCCAAAGCTTCTGTTTGTGTCTGAGTCTACATTTTCTCTTTCCATTCCTCCCAGTCACTTTTCAGCCAGTACAGCATTCAGGAGAAAATTAACAAATGGGTGGAATAGAGATATTGCTTC